AATATTTTGGGGGGAGTTGTATGGTAAGACACATTATTTTTAGACCTTACAGCACTCCACATGGTGGGTTTATGAGCTAAGCCTGGCAGGGTCACGATACTTAAACTGCTGCCAGGGAGATCCCTGTAAAATGAGGAGGGTGGAAAAAGACACTGGGTGGCTTTCAAGCCACTCCCTGGCTTCCAGCTGTGCAGAAATACAGTTTCCTGTGGGGTTCTCATTCATTGGCTCATCCACATGAAGTCACTCTGAACAGGGAGTGACAAGAGGAAAAGCAACAAGATGGCACCTGTGAACAAAGCTGAGAGCTTGCAACTTTGGGTTTTAGCATCAATAACAGCAAATAATCAAACTCAGGATGAATAAGATAAAAATCTCTTGAACACTCTTGTAGATGCTTGGAGGCACAAGCGTGACGATTGAAGAAAAGAGTGTCAAAGCATGCGGAGTTGGAAACTCGCCCAGCGTGGATTGCCATAAAGACTTTTGTGCTTTATTCTTGAGTTTCACAAAGACAGCTGGGTTAGGTGCAGCTTTGAATATTTGTAATAATAATAATTATTATTATTATTATAATGATGGTAATATTCTCTTACTCTTTCATGTGCCTGTGTGTGGTACAGATGCATGTGTGTGCGTGTTCATGTATATGGACACACATACGTGTGTGTGTGTGTGTGTTGCATTTGAGCAAGCATGTATTTGCACATATGCATACAGGTATATGTGGAGACTTGAAGTGGACATCAGGAAGCTTCCTAAATGGCTCTTCTTCTTATTCACTGAGGTAATGCTCCTCAACTTAACCTGGAGCTTGCCAATATATTCAGTCTGTCTAGCCAGCTTGCTCCAGGGAAACCTCTGTCTCCATCTTCCCAGATAAAAGATGAAGGAACAGCTTTCCAAAGATTAACTGATTTATTATGGCAACTCACAAGATGAGAGTTTGAAAGTAAGAACAATGGTTGATCACTTATGACTAATTAAATCCTGAACTGAGAATGTACATAGATGTATTTGGTGTTAAAACTTAATATTCTTTTTTTTTTTTTTGTAAGAGAGGAAGCATGACTCAAAGAAATGCAATAAATTCTCTGTAGCTTACAAATATGTAGGAGAAGACCCTGAGTTCTGGCTGTAAATAGTAGATGATTATTTGGGCCCAGTTTCTCTCTCTTTTTACCTAAAAGGCTATTTCTAATAAAAAAGGAACTTCTCTGACCCAGCCTGTAAAGAGCTTAGGCGTCATCGTTCCATATTAACAACAAATAAAAAAGTATACAGTTGAAAAAAATCAACAACTCTTTATGAAAAATCACAACAGAGCAAATGCAGAGAACAAAATTTTGGGGGTGCCCAGCCCAAAATGATAGTTACAGTACAACTCCTGCACCCAAAGCACAGGGAGCATCCTGGAAGAGTGAAAGGAAGATTGTAAGAGTCAGAGGACTTGGAAGTTTGTTGTGTGATTGTGTTTTCTTGGGTATGATAGAGACAGAATACCTATTATATATCAAAAGCATGGTTGTCTAAACAATGACAACACCAAGGAACATGCTAATATAGAAGATGGAAATATCATCTCTGAAAGTATATACATACAGTAACATCAAATGAACTCAGCAGGTTGTATTTATATATTTCTGTATTTATATATGCATATAACAGTAATAATTAAGAAAAGGGCCCAATAATTGAGTGGTAAGGGGTTTCATGGCAGAGATTGGAGTTTGGAAATGGAAAAGGGTGAATAATGTGTATTTTAATTTTTATTACTACAAAATAACCAACAACTCTGTAGAAGTCCTGAACAAATAAGGTAATAGGAGGTCTTTTGTTTTATAATTCTAGTGGCATATGCAGAGAATCCAACCTTATAAGAGCAGAACATTCTGTGGAAACCAGAGGGGAAGCAGGAAACCTTGGCCGCCATTGACAAATTGCTGGAGGTTCATTCAATGTGGACAAGTTTGACAGAAAAAAATTCTAAGAGGCTCTAGTCCCCTGCATTCATCTTCAAATTTTGAGTTAGACCCTCTCAGAGCTTTCTACCTTGTTCTTCTAGAAAATAAGAAAGAAAATGTTCCCCCATGGGCTTCCTGGAGGATGAATGGAAAAGTGACCATCTTGAAGTATGAGAGAATATTAATAAAAACAGAAGCAAGCCCATGCAAAAGGGGAAAACCATAACCATTTAGCCTCTCAAAGTGGAATAGAAGCTAGGGAAACTATTCTCTATAATGTTGTTGGAGTGATGCATGTCTTGTGTTTGTTCAAGCCTATAGAATGTGCACTTCCAAATTTGACCTAGAAGATTGTAGTGAGTCATTTGGTATTTCTTGGGTGGTTTTGATTGACAAGTTGTACATATATGGGTAGAAGGGTATATGGGAACTCACTGTACTTCTTGCTCCATTTTGCAGTAAAATCTGCTTTATAAATACAGTTTGTGAGAACCCAAAAGTTCCACTTTAGTTTTTTAATTTACTCAGGTCAAACTGGAGAGGCAATGTGGTCAGTGTCCAGTTCTCAAGCACTCTTTTTAAAGCACACATGCCCTTTCTCAGTTAGGCTATGACCTCTTGTTGGATCCTAAGTCCTATGGCAATTCCCTCATGTCATAGAGCATAGACAAAGATGGCCATATGTTTTACCATATTAATCAGTATAATTTTGATTTAAAATACATCACCATCAATTATTATAACGGACTTGAAATTGGGCTGTTTGAGCTACAACAAGAAGAACTCTGATCTCTCTCTCTCTCTCTCTCTCTCTCTCTCTCTCTCTCTCTCTCTGTCTGTCTCTCTCTCTCTCTGTGTGTGTGTGTGTGTATGCTCATGCGTGTACCTAGTAGTAGTAGTAGGTAGCTAAGTAGGCAGTAGTAGGTAGCTAGCCCACAAGACACTTGGACTCTCAAGAGCAGACTGTGTTTTGTTATTCTCTGCCTAACTCATGCTGTCCTAGCATGGCTCCACTGCTAACTGTGTGAGTGACTTGGCTAAAGCTCTTCTCTTGGTTTCTTCTGAGTCTGTGTTTGGCATTTTTTTTTATTCTATCAGTGCCTCCCCCTTCCTTCAGTGTTTTGATTCTTGTCCAGTGTAACATTTCTCTTGGAATTGACAGCCTGAGCAACTGTGGATGTCATAGGATAATTTTTTCTTGAAGATATCCTACTTTTCTTGATAAAGCCACACTAACTTCACAGTCATAGGTAATGTCTATTTTAGGATCTGAAAGTTCATTTGATCATATCAACCCATTGAGGTCTGGTAGAGAAAAGCTCACACCATAATGCATCTTCATATAAAACCTCCAAAACCCCGTATCAAATGGTAATAAGAAGAAATTGATGAAGTCTACCAAGAAATTCATGATTAATGTGGTGCTGTGTTTAGTATACCCATCACAAAGGAAACTAGGAAGTGAGTTGATTTCCAAGCTCGCTACAGAGTTGATACAAGAGAAAGGGCATGCCATGTTGGATAGCATTATTTAAAAAACAATCCAACATGAAGATAAAAAAATGTTCTTATATTATTTTAAGGACAAGAGATGATTATAAGCCTGGATGAAGCCAAACATGGAGTAAGACCAGTATGTCTAATTGTAAAAATGTGGATAATTGAGAAGCTGCATTCTAAGCCAGGCAGGCCTGAGTTCCTGCCTTGGCTGGATGGAGTGACAGAGCCTCTAGGGGTCTAATTTGTTTCACCTGTGATGTGGAAGTGTTGGTTACATGATTCTCTAGGGCATCCTTTAGGCTTAACAGTATATTTTTGTGAGTTTTGAAGGTTCTTAGACTTAAATAACTAAGAAGCAAAAGAGCGCAAACTGTGGAATTCAACTATAATAGCACAGTTACCTTGAATCTATATCTTACTAATTTAGCTATGAGAGGGACTTGCCACCTTTAGAAAAGGGCTCAGTTTTTAAGTTTGTAGAAACCTATACTGAGCCCAAAATTTTACAAGAAGGAAGTTCAGTCTTTAAAGGAGAGATATGCAAATTCACAGAGCCGTACCTGAGTCTAACTCTATGTTTATTTACTCATGGAGTACTTTCTGAGTACCTACTCTTGGGTTGAGTATGAAACTAATGTAGAAGTTTTTGACCTAGGTTTTGAATTGCGGTCTTCATGTCTGTCTGTGTCCGTGAGTTCTCACTATTGGAATTTTACACGGTTGTTCTCATCCACACCCACCTGCCTTAGTATTGCCACTAAGGAGTAGTTTCCTTTGGGATTTTTGGTGTGGACAGTGTAGTAGAATGGGAGATGCTGCCTGTATTAGTTAAGATACTGGGCACTCAGACGCCTCTCTAGCTCTCTACAAAATATCACATGGTCAAACTCTTTTTCTTAATTTAAAAGGCAAATAGAAGTTCTACCTCTTGCTATTGTTCAAGGACTCAGATTGACAGAAGCTCTTCCCTTTTCAGTATATGCTCATAGAGTTACTACAATATCCATATCTAGCCAAATAAAAAGAAAGAGCATAGGTGATTACCTTTTGTGATTTTTATCAACCAGGCCTTGGCAGAGAAGGACATTTTAAATTGTATTGCTTAGAGCTTGGTGAGATAACTGCATATACCTGGCAGGTACTCTGAGAAGTGGAGTCTAAGGTCATGTTTAGTGAACTCCCAGCAGTCCTCACTGCATGGTTGAGCACTGTAGCATGTGGTAAGTGTGTGCCCTAATTGCATTGCATGAGTTTCTCTTCAGATTTAGGTCAGGTTGGTACATGGCAGCTTATATGAATAGATACGAGAGTAGGCTCAACTCTACAATAGTCAGCTGGCTTCCTCTTTGCTGTGGTCTGGGCTAGATGCCTTGAGCATTTCCAAATAAGCAGGAAGCATTAATATAATTGTTCAATAAAAAATAGGTACAAGTTGTAAAACTTTGTCTCTGTCATGGAAGATACAGCATCTCAAACAGCTTATGTAATGCCCTTGATTCAAATAAGGAAACCCTCCCTGTCAGTGGGCAACTCATGCTCTCTAGAAATGGGCAAAGAGACACCTTGTTGGTGGTTTTGTTCTCATATCAACCAGGGGCAGAGCAGATGGCAATACTGAATTCATCCTAGCTTGATGCCTGGCTTGGTGGTCAAAGCTATCTTATGACTAAAATGCGTAACAGTCAAATCAAATCTAGGCAGGGCAAAGCAGCTGGAGGAAGACAGAGATCTGCAGACTGCCATACCACCCACAGACCTGCCCTCCAGTGCTTGTCACAGACAGGCCATAGACACTTATTTGCCCCATACTAGACAGCATGGATGGAGATGTCACCCAGAGCCAGCCTGAAGCAGGGCCTTCACAATGTGTGAGTATGTGGTGGAAAGATGGGAAAGAAAGAGAAATGGAGCAGCTTGAGTGCTCTGAAGAGGGACAGAACTGGAGCCTCAGGAGTGGAAAGAGGGAGTCTGTTGTGAGTGGCCAGTCCTGTCACTTGAGGCCATGGTGAGGTCCCAGGTTGAGCTACAGGCGAGTGCTGTGTCTTACTCTGTGGCTATGCAGCAACAGGAGTCAGTGTGATATCTAAGACTCATATTACCACTAGAGAACATGGGAATGTCCCTGGTCAGGGCAGCCAGCAGAAATCATGTGGAGGTCCAGGGGCTATGCATAAGTGGTCCTGACCCTCACTGGATGTGGTGTTTTGGAAAGCTTACCCCATGTCTCACTGGGGCCAGCACTCAAGAGAGCAGGTCATGCCTCTAACCCAGGTAGCAAGGTGGAGCTGTGTGGGTGGGTGGGGATGAGTGGGCTCTCAGGGCAAAAGTATGGGAGAGCCTACCCTGATATTCATCTGCTATGGGGTGGGACTGGTGCAGAGGTGATTGTCTGTCCCCTACCACCTATCAGCAGTCAAAAAAGCTGCCCACAGGGTTATGAGCTTGGGAGTACTAGCCCTGTCCCTCACCAGCTGCAATACTTAGGAAAGTAGGCCCATGTACCGTTCCTAGACAGCGCAGCAGATCAGGGACATAGGTGAGGCAGTCCCTAGGGTGAGAGTATAGGAGAGCTGGCCCTGCCACTCATCTTCTGTGCAGTGGATTGGGTATACAGGTGATGGCTTCCCTCCTTGAATCTCACCACCCATGCAGTCAGGAGAGTTGGCCCTGCCCTGCACCACCTGCAGCACTTGGGAGAGCAAGCCCTGCACCTTGCCTAGGCATCAGAGTAGGGCTGGCCCTGGTCAAGAGGTTGTGGGTGAACCAGCCCCAAGAATGTAGCAAAAGAGAGCTGGCCCTGCCATTTATATTCTATGAGGTGACCTAGGTGCAGGGGTGCTGTCCTCCTCCAACCCCTCACTACCTACAGTAGCTGGGAGAGCTGGCCCTGGGGTCCTGAGAATGGAAGAGTTGACCCTGTCCCTCACTGCTGTAGCACTTGAGAGAGTGGCCCTGCACCTTGTCTGAGTAACATGGTGGAGCCTGACCCTGATGGTGAAGGCTTGGGCAACCCAATCCTGATGATGTGGGAGTGGAAGAGCTGGTTCAGTCCCTCACAGGCTGTGGTACTTGTGAGAGTGGGGCCTACACCTTGACTGGGCAGCACAGTAGAGCTGACTCTGGAGGAGTGGGTGCAGGTGAGCCAGCCCAAGGGCATGAGAGCAGGAGAGCTGATCCTGCCTCTTGCTGGAAGTGACACTGGGTGGTCCAGTCAGAGCAGTGCTGGAGAACTTGCTCTGGTTGTATGGATAAGGGAGAGCTGTTGGGCTGACCAGCTCAGCTACCATCCAGGCCCAGATCCAGGGTTCTGAGTTGATCCACCCTAAAATCCATATCATTTGTGAATGGTGTGGACTTGGGAAAGGGCCAGTCCTGCTGTTCCAAGGCTACAGGAATTCCATGACATAGGGCAAAAACAAGATAACCAGGAGGAGTCCCTATGAGGATCCATTATTGATGGTGTCACAGAAGTCAGAGATCTCCAAACAGACCAATGACCCATTGCAATGAACATTTGCAAGAGAAGATGTGTGGACACAGGGATATACTGTGGGACACACTGACACGCTATAGCTTCCACGATGAGATGTTGTCTATGCTTTGTTTGTTTGTATTTTATTTTGGGGGTGACTTTGGAAGGGCAAAGGGTGGAAATGAGGGGATGGGGAGATGAGCAGAACTGGGGTACATGCTGTGAAGCTCACAGAGAATCAATAAAAAGCTTTTAAAAAAATGGACAAATAAGCAAAGACAATGGAAAACAAAATCAAACCCTGATTTATAGTAAGAGAGATTTTGTTTTTGAAATATTAAAATTTTCTGAGAACAAAATTTTTAGGTATTTAAAAATAAATAAATAAATAAATAAATAAATAAAAGACAAAAAGTTTAGGTACTTAGTACTGTATTTAGATATTTTTACCCTATTCTCTCCAACTCTTACCATGTCCCCTTCTCAAAATTTTGGCCTCTTTTTCTTTAATTACACGGTTATATATGTATATACACATATAAATATATGAATACAGCTCTCTCAGTTTATTCAGTGTTGCATATGATATTAGGGTGGACCACTTAGTATTGGACAACCAATTAAAGAGCTCATCCATGCAGTCATTTGTTTCTTGTAGTTCTTCGTCTTGGGATGGTTCCTTATGGTGTCGTGTTTAGGCACCATATTGTGGCAATCTCATGGGGATAGTTTCCCTGACATATATAAGAAACAACCTCATGGCAGACATCCTGGTCCTTTGGATCTTACTATTTTTTCATACTCCTTTTGCTCTGATGTTCCCTGAACCTTAGGGGTAGGAGTTATGTTGTATATGCATCTATTTGGGACTAGACACACTGTGATTGGTTCTTCTCTGTGTTTTGACCAATTGTAACTTCTATAATGGTCGTTGTCTGCTGTCAAGAGAAGCTTCCTTTATAAGGGATAGCAGCTACACTTATCTGTGGGTAAAAGAAGATATATTTAGAACAGAATTACATTTTTACTGACTTAGAAAAATGTCAATAGTAGGTTCTCCTCTAGGTTGTATGCTGTCACCAGCCATGGGTAGTTATCTAGATTTACAGTATCAGACAAGAATTCTCTCTACTCAGCAAGATTTAAAGTCCAATTAGACAGCTAGGTGGTGGTGTTACACCTGAACTTGGGAGGCAGAGGCAGGCAGACCTCTAAAAGTTTGAGGCCAGCCTGATCTATAGAGTGAGTTCCAGGGCAGCCAAGGCTGCATAGAGAAACCTTCTCTCAAAAACCAAACAAACCAAAAACCAAACCAAACCAACCAACCAACCAGCCACTACCACCACTACCACCACCACCACCACCACCAACAACAACATCAACAAAAACAAAAACAAATAAACAAAAAAAGTTCAATTAGAAAATTGTGGGTTGGCCCAAAATATAAGAGCCATTATTGTACCTTGGGGATATCTTGTCATGTACGCCATTGTTACAGTCTAACAGACATCACAGATGGGAGGGAATATTGATTACCTTTCTCCATTGGTAATTCCCATAGGATCTTTAGGTACTATGAGAGTTTGTTATCAAGGGGGAATCTTTCCAGTTAGATCCAGCTCAATTTCTCCAAATCCTGTGTCTGAAGTATGTGATAACCTCAGCAATAGCGACTTGCCTATAAATTCAAAAGGGAGGGCAACAACAATAGCCTCTGTTGTTTGAGGACGTCTCTTGGATTCCCTGACCAAAAACTCTAAAGGAAGTTTCTCATGCCCATTACTGGAGTTTTAATAAAATAATCTATAGCTCTTAGGTAGCATTATACCCCACGAGGCATACCTTCACTGAAACTATGTAACACATGTGTGAGTGTATGTTATGACACATGTGCATATATTATGTGTAGTTTTAGGTAAGCATAAAATTACTCCTTACAGGTTAGTGTTATTTACTCCTCAACTCTCTTTCAGTTCCCCTTCCTTTCTCTTTGTATTGCCTACTCTCAACCCCAGCTAAAGTCCACTCCCATTTTTCCTATTTCCTGTTCTTTTCCTCTCTATGGTGCCTCTTCCCACTAAGATTTAATCCTGTGCTGATGTTCTTGTGCAAGTAGCAGGAGCTTCTGTGAGTTCATTTGTATAGCAGTTTTGTTTAGAAACACTATCTAATGCTAGTCCTCCCTGATCTCTGCTTCTTCCAATCTTCCTGTCTCCTCTTCTACGATGAGTCTTGGGTTGGTGAATGATACAGACCTCTCACTAGAGGATGGATGCACTCCACTGACACCTATTCTCTGTATTTTGTCTAGTAGTAAGTTTCTGTGTCCAGTCCTATGAATGCTTTCCTGAAGGTAGGAAGCTTTCTGGTCAATATCACCTTGATTTCTCCATGTCCTGTGACTAAAATGCTTGGTATCTTCAATGATAGGGTTTACCATCAAGTTTCACCAAGAACTGAAGAGCAGTGACATTACCCTGTAATACTTGGACGTCTCTAGGAACCCCTGACCAACAATTCAAGCTCACATCCTGTACTTGGACTTTCATTTGGAAACCTAGTGCTTCTGAGAGAGTTATCTCCTGTGTAATGTAGTTTATGGTTTCACAGGTCTGTAGTTTGGGCTGAGATTTATACCTCATAGCGTGCTGGTCTTGGTTAGGCTCTTCCATGCATATGTTGTCAGACTTGGACCAGCTTGACATCTTTCCTGAGGTAGAAGTGGGTACACAACGTGTCTCTAATAGTCTAGCATATTAGACTATACTATTTGCATAGAAGGAAGTCCATGTTTCATGACTGACAAGAAAAAGTAGAACTTTTTTTTTGAGTCATATGTTTCTAGCATTACAGTGAACCTATGATATGATGTGGCAGCATCTATTGGCCAAAGAATATCCAAACAGGAACCCATACTCTCTGCATCTAACAAATGGATGGGCAGATAATATTTCAAGAATATAGATAAAGACTAGGGTAAGTTTGTCTTTGTGGGATTTTGGGAGATTTGTTCCCAAGTATTTTGTGTTAGTTTGAAGGACAGTGATCACAGAACACTTGTTTCCTACTACAGTGTCATAGTTTCAAGACACCCCAACACTGAAAGTTTATCTCAGAACAACAGCCTCATCTTCCTAAAATACCATTTCCAAGAGGGAGACTTTATACTGTATCTCACAATAATCTCATTTTCCTTTACAGTATTAA